TTATGAACTGGCCAGACTACAGAAAGTACAGAATGCAATAAAACATGCTCTTGCCCAAAATCAGACTTTGGCTTGGGGGAAAAGCTCCCAAGGATCGAGAGACTCTAAATGTTAAGATGTCAATGTAAGATCTTAACTATTGTTCAAATTTGCATGGGAGACTACAGGGGATCCCCCCCCCCAACAGTGAGGGTCTCTTAGCATGGAAGTGAATACCAGGACTCCCCACTCACGAAGCCTTCCAGAAAGGTGGGGAAGGCAGGCTAGTGCTCACTGATCCGCTCTGATGGCGTGCCAGAGCCTGTTCCCGGCAGTCCCACAGATGTTCTTGTTTGCTTTTCCTAGCACTTTGTCAATATAGGCATTTTCACCCCCCACATCCCCATCCACCCCCTGAAGGAAAGGGAAGAGTAGGCTGAACGAAGGAACTCAGATACTGACTAGCGTTTAAGGTCTTCCTTCTTTTAGGGAAGGCTGTTATGGATGAAAGGAAAAATAACACCTAGATGAAGAAAACTGAGCATGAGCTGAGTGAACTGGAGTCATAAAAAACAGCCGACAGGAACCTTGAACACCACAGAGAAGAACAATGAAGCCGGAGGCCTCCGGTGCCTCATCCTGGCAGAGGCGGGAGGAGGGGCTGGCTTTGTGAAGCTGGTCCCACACAGAGAAAGACCTCGCTCCTCCCGAGAGCCCAAACTGGAGGGAGCTAAAGGCCACAGCACTGCCTGGGAGTGGAGGCCACAAAGCAGGGGTGACATTACAAGGAATCGCAGCTCCAGGGCGGGCCTGTTGAGGCTGGAGGAGAACATCGGAGTTTCGGGCTGCAGGCCTGGGCCACGCCGCCTGAACACCACGACCCGATGCGCGTGCAGGACTTGGCGGGGGAGGTGGGCGGGCTGGGCTCTGGGGCCCAGTTCACAAGTCCTTTCCTTCTCCGCTTGCTCTCTCTTAGGATAGACAGAGTAAAATAAGTGAATGGTGATGAGATTCATTGAGCAAAGGCTGGGAGAGTTGGCTTGGGTCACTGCTCTTACATGGCGAGAGGCTGCATCTTCCGCTGCTACACGGAGAAAACAAGGGGTGGTGGACAAGGCAAGTCAAACCGCCTCCCACCCTCGATCAGACTGTGCTGGGTTGGCGGGGGCCTTGTGGAATTGAGTCCTTGGCCAGAAATCCCTGCCTTGGGCCTCAGGAGACATGAGGGAGGCTCAGCAAACCGGGCGGCCAACTCTGAGGGTCTGGCAAACTCCAGGTTCTTCCAGGGCCCTGTGTTCACTGAAACTGAAAATGTGTATGGCTAGAAACCCTTCTCTAATTTTTAAACCCCTGTGCATTTTTGACATAAATCTGATCCACATGTTTTTTATTTATTTTTATTTGACTCATCAAATCAAGTTAGGAACTACAATGATGAAGGGAACAATGCTGATTTCCAAGAAGATTTTTGGGCCTTTTTCTTAGAACTAAATCACACCATCCCACCTCCGCCCCACCCCACAAACCTGTTTAACCGACCAGACTAAGCTGGGTTTGAAATTAAGAATCCAAACGTGAAATTAAGATCCATGTTTAGTTAGCAAAGATGAAACCTAGCCCGGGAATGTTCTTAGGAAGGCAGAGTTACAAAGCCAGGGGTCAGGGTGGGGAATAGACAGGAAGGAATTCAGTTGTTCTTTATTAGACAGTTTAAATAAATTCCCCCGGCCTTCTGGGCTCCCAAGAGAAGCCTTCTAGCCATTTCTCTAGGGAGTGACCTTATCACCACCACCCAGGAGAAGGACTTTCAGCTCCAAGGCTGCGGATGAGGGGGTCCCCCGTTCCCATTTTGTTTCCTCTGCACCCCTCCGTAGTGGCCGATTCAGGCTGCTCCTCCTCTTCTCTCTAACCTTCCTCCCACTTCCCTGGCTCTGGCTAAGGCCTTTCCATCTGGAAGCATTTAAAATGTACAACAGTTTTAAACTCATGCAACAGAATCTTGGTATCTACACTACATACCTATTAAACTAAATTATAGATACACAAACTTACTTTGCACAATTCTGTCTGGCCTAGGCTGGCACATAGTAAAGGCCATTACTGTCTTTTCTTATTACTTTTTTTTTTTTTTTTTTACTATACCATCATTTTCTTCAACATCAGTTTAAGGCTGGCAGTATTTCTCTGAGAAACCCTGGCACTGAGGCCCCAAGGTAAAGCTGCTCTCTTGACAGCCCCTCGAACCAGTACTCAGTGGGCCCCTGGACACTGGCCGGAGAAACTTCCTTGAACTCAGCTGCTCTGCCCTATAAGTCCTGATCAAATTGGACAGACCTGGGTACATGTATCTACTTGCCACCTAATAATTGTACCTTGGGGAAGTTATTTGACTTCCCTGGGTCTCGATTTCCCAGCCTGTAAAATGGGTATAATAATCTCAGCATTATGAGGATTAAATGAGATACTGCATACAAAAAAACCCATAGTATGTTGTCTGGCCCAGACTAAGTAGATAATAAATGTTACTCATTATTGTTACTATAATAGCTCTACACTTAATTCAACTCTACAACTTTTCTAAGAGCACTTAAATTTTTCTAGTGGTTTCCCAATTTCCTTCTAAATCCTGCCCATCCCTCACCAGTGCTGAACAACCTATCTGCTTTCCTGCAAACCAGCATCACCCCAGATAGATGCATAAGGTTTCCGATCAACCAGATGGGAGTTTTCATCAGTCCTCAGGGCATCTCCCATGCAGGTCCGAGTTTTAGACCCACAATCCCTTCCTTGCGTCCACAACAGCTGGGTGACTGTGAGATTTGTGGCCTAACTGCACAGAGACTATTCTTCAAACCAAACCAATCTTCTCACTTTATACAGAAAGCACGCGTGCGCGTGCGTGTGTGTGTGTGTACACAGGTGGGTGAGGAGGAGGTTTGTACTCTGCTTTAAGGAGAAAAATGGCTAATTCTGCTTCCTGAACCCCTACTCATGCTTCAGCACCACCAGGAACATGAGTCACACTTCATCTGTCCCTTTCGTGAAGCAGGTGACAGTACCATTTAATATGTCTGATAAATGTATCTCTCCCAAGGGGGAAAATACAGCAAGTCCATGAGTCTAGTATTTATGCTTTTTCTCCGGCCAGGAGTAGTTTCAGCAGTAATTCATGGACCGAGATATCCCACTCAGTGGCCTCTTAACCTCCAATGGTTAGATGTGTTCTGGATACCAGCCTCAGCAATAAAGGATGCTGAAGGAATGACCCCTGCTTGCAGCCCTGCCAGAGGGGCCTGGGTGGCTGTTTATGTCCATGGACAGCTCTGGAGTGGACATGCAATCTGTGGGCTGGAAAGTCACTTGGGGCCTCAGATAAAAGGTGAGCTGGACTAATGAGAGTCCTCTCTGGTCATCTGGAACCAGGAGAGTGAGCAACTGGGTGACTGGTAGCAGAGATGTATGGAACATGCTGGTCGCATTAACGGCAGAACCCCCTCATGAAGGTGCCAGATCCCCGCTGCTGATGCTCTCCAGGGCTGCCCTGACTCGAAACCACCATCCTATAAAGCCTGGCTGCTCAAGGGTACTTCCTGTAAACACTATAAACAGCCTTCCAATATTATGAAAATCAACACCTTTCTTTTGAGTTAGCTTGAGTGGGTTTCTCTGTTTCCCTCAACAAATGAAGCCTGCATTAAGACAGCAAACCCTTGGGAAGAGCACACAGACGGAGCGATGCCCGAACATAAGGGCATTTCCAGTGTGAGGCTTTGCTTTAACGGCTAATTACATGCCATGCAAACACCACTGGTTCCCAGCAAATCCCTCTCCAGCTATCCGCTGTTGTAAAAACTAGAGAAGTAAAGCTCTCTCTCCCCCAAACTCCCTTGCATCTAGGCGAGGGCATGTGGCATCGTTCTGGACAAGGAGATGCAAGCGGGCATCTATTGGGGCAGACAGGCTGCCCCCTCCTTCCTACCTTGTGTGACAATATTATGCTTGGAGCTGCCGCCACCATCTTCCAGCCATGACAGAGAAGTGAGGGAAGCAGAGATGCCAGCCCCACCGTGGTGGAGGCCCTGCGCCAGCACCAGCAGCCACCAAATTCCAGCCCCCTTGTTACGTGAGAAGAACACCCCTCAACTACTACTAGGCAGATTCTTCATAACTTAGAAGCAAAACCTTTTCTAAATGATATACCCTGGAATAGAACCAGACCTTGTTTACTGTATGGTAAGAAAAATAATTTTCATAACCAACAATACAACAATTAGTTTCTCAATTCTCCAGATGTCAACTGAATGATACAAGCTCTTCAGGTAATTAAAAGGGAATGAAGTATATATATGAACTATGCTACAGGGCAGAAAGTGAACATGCCGAGAGAGGCAGCTGCTCTATGCGTGTCTGCAACAGGGAGAGATGTGACTCCTGGTTGCAGGAGGGGGAGATCAGAGAAGTTGCCACAGAAAGTGCATTTGAGTTAAACCCTAGAGAAAAGAATAATTTGGATGTTTGGAGATGGAGAGGAAGAGCATTCTAGACAGAAGGAACCGTTTAAGCAAATATGGGGAACTGAAGGTCATGCACAGGAAATAGCAAGTTCATTCTGACTCATGTTGGGGAACAAAGATCAGACTAAAAGACCCAATTATAGAAAGCCTTGAATGCCGAGCAGAGGTCTGAGCTTTGTTCTCCAAGCCACAGGGTGGTGTTAAAGATTTTGAGCAAACCTGAGTCAGAGTAATTGCTTAGGAACACGTGCCTGGTGGGCGTGCGTGGGATGGACTGAGGAGGCAGGAATGCCGCTGGGGGGCCATGCGGTGTCATGCAGGGGCTGAGGGGGGTGTGCCCCAGGGCAGCCAAAGTAAGGAGGAGTGGGGAAAAGACACAGCCATGAGGCTGCAGGAGTACACGTGACACAAGCTGGCTGCTATTGGGATATGGGGTGTGAGTCATGGGGGGAATCACGCAGAAAACGTTTCACTGTACAGAATAGAAACAAAAACACCATGTGGTACCTCTGGAGCTGAAGACAGGAATGGTTTTATGTAGATGCTGGAGTCATGCACCTTCAGGTCATGGTCCCCGAGTCCCCTGGTCACTCCAATAGTCGCCATCACTCGGGCCTAGGAGCATAAGCAGAGGGTCATCAGAGACACTCACATGCAGAGGGCGCACCCCCATCACGGCGCTGCAAGCACGGGGCAGTGAGCTGCCAGTTCCTCCGGCCCCTCTCCGTGCCCCTGGCTGCCAGTTTATGTGGGCGGCTGTGTCCAAGGAGAGGCTCACCAAGACCTACATACTTGAGGTCACTTTTCCAGTCATCTGAAGTTTAATGCTTTTCTGATGTCTGTTTTCAGTTTTCTTTTGTAGAGCTGGGGGGAAGGGTGTCCAGTAAACTAAATCCAATACATGTGTGATGTCTACAGCAGAAATCAGTTCAAACCAACACCAACAGGATCCACCCAGCCATCTGTTACTCACCCACTAGACAAGTACTTGCTGAACACCAGCTAGGTCTCTAATTCTGTGATGCACATAGTAAAAGATGTAAAAAAGTCAGAGGCAGCTCCCACCCTCCCAAAGCTCGTATATTATACTTCATGGCTGGACAAAATAAACCATTAGCAACTCAGTAACCTATCCTGCTTACATCCCCACAAATTCTCTCTGGGTGGAAAGGAACAATATGTCACTTTGCCATAACTACGCAGAGACTTCAGGGCTGAGACCTCACCACTGCACACCTTCTCTAAATGGTTTTCCAAATGCTTTATTGAAGAAATGCTATTATACTAATGCCTACACAGTTGGCCTGAATATCTCCTGGGATGCCACACATTTGATTCACCCAAGCATTTACTGAGCATCTATATGTGCAGACACCATGCTATGGTGGACAAACGTCTTCGGCCTTGTGTCTACTGTAAAGGAACTTGGTAAAGGTATGTGTCTAATCAACAATATATAGTATATGGCCAAGGGCTGAAGGAGATATAAACAATGGGTCATGTGACTTCAGAGGAGGTAAAGATTCTGAGACGTTTCCCTGGAGGAGGTGGCACTGAATTTTTGCATAGGAGGATAGGCAATATCGAGAGAGATAAGCAGAGAGACGGAGTGAAAGTCATTTTGGGTAGAATGAAGCCCTACAGCCTAACACTTAGATCATCAATAATATATCCACTGCAGCGTCATGGTTCAAAGGTCTGAGCCTGAATCCTCCTCATTCTATTGCTTGGGTAATAAGAGAAATTAACCCCACAGGAGTGAGGATGAAGTAAATAAGTGCTAAAAAATATCTAATGGATTATTATCATCTCCATCCTAGTTTCTCCAGAGAGCTGTGGATTTGAGAGCTGGCTTCAGATCAGAAGGCAGACAGGTTTACATCAAAGTGGGAGTGAAACCTTGATCCATTTTTAAAAGGCAAGACTCAAGGGGGTAAAATGTAGTCATGTGATGTGAAACCTGGGCACATCTGGTCAGGGTCCTGGTACAGAAATCCTCTGCTCTGCTGGGAGGCTGCACCAGCTGTAGCTGAGAAGTATTTGACACTACATGCAAAAGTCCACAGTCCCCTGCAGCCCCTCTGCTCTCCTCTCTGTAACAGCAAAGGCAGTTTCTCTGGTTGGAAGAGGCACTGGTGGGTGTTTAAGTCTAAAGAAACTGGATGCTTCTGCTAGTCACTGCACTTGTTCACAAACTGTACCGGTGTCACGCATTTAAGTCCTTAAGATGGTTGGCAGAAATAAATGCGAAGTCACTGCTGTGGAAGTAGTTTCACAACACTTCTGGGTAGGTGTACATAGAGAAGAGACAGAAAACCCCTGTGAAGAGCCAGCCAGAACTGATGTGTTACAGTTACAAAGATGTATCAAGAAATCATGGAGTCTCAGCCTGGGATCTTGTGCTACTTTGGTATGGAGCAAGCCTGGAACACACTGGGGCCACAGCAGCTTTTAAATAGGTCAACAGGTACAAGGATGGAACTTGCCAGCTGCCTACCACAAAACTGGGAAGGCCTGAGTAAAACTGAAATGCTTGAGGAACACGAATTCCCACTGAATCACGTATTTTCCTAACTGGGAAAGACCTTGCTCCTTTAAGTGTTTTTTTTTTTCCTTTAAGTCTTTTTGCTGATATTCTTGTGAGAACACATTAGTCCACTTCCAGTTGTATGCAGGACAGTACCCCAACCACAACTGAATTGCTTACTGAATACTTATGCATTTATCAAAGGCCTGCCATGTGTGGGGTACTAGGCACACAGAGTTAACAGGATGTGGTCCGGAGCTTACGGGAACCCACTAGGTACGGCAGGGTGAGCCACAGAGAACTGTGGGGCTGCAGGTCACTGGGCTGAGTGATGTGCATTAATGGAGCCTACTGTAGAGAAAGACACTCATCAGGAACAGAGCCCTTCCCTGTTGCGACTCTAAACAAGAGATGGTGAGGTGGAAGGTGTCCATTTCCAGGGAAGGGGCAAGGTGGTTTGAAGCGATCCCTCTGTGGATCAGATGTTCATTTCATTTCCGTCCACGATATGTCTCTTTCTGTTGAAATCACTGTGGGCTACACTGAGCCCCAAACCGAATCCTTTGTGTGCACGCTCTCTCATTCTCATGCAAGTAGATACACATGCACACATGCGAGCATGCACACACACACACACACACACACACACACACACACACTCACTCAAGTTCTGCTCATGAGGGCACCCTTCGGTTTTGTTATGAGTCACTTCTTCCTAACAAAAATTATCAAATGCTGAAAAAATGTCAGTTGAAGATTCTTGAAGTGACCACATTTTGTACTTCTGATGGGGGCTCTCAGCACCTAGATGAAATGTATTCATGTTTAGAGGAAAAACGCAGTGATTCAGAAGGTATGTGTTCTTCCTAGGAAACAGCTTGTTCTAAGTTTCCTCATCCCTGCTCCAGGACTGTAACCTCCTCCAGTCTCTTGGTTAGAGACAACTTTAAGATCAACAGCCTTCCTTGGGGTTGATAATGTGTCTGCTGCTTGGCATTTGGTTCTGGCCAGGGCCCTGGGAGCTTGTGATGCCTGGTCCTTGTCAGCTCAGCCTCGTCCATGTGGTCCTACAGCCTAGCCATGGTGAAGCTGTGGGTCCCCTTCCATGGGCAGGCGGAGAAGCAGGCTGCAAGGTCTGAACTTCATGCTGGAGTGAGAGCGTGGAGGTGGAGGCCATGGCTCTACATCTGGTACCATCCCTCGCTGGCTGTGTGACTGAGTAGTTTTAACCTGGAGTCCCAGCTGTCTCACCTATGAAATGTATATAACACAGCCACTCGGCTCACCTTGTGGCTTGTTGTCATATACAAGATGACGTGTGTGAAAGTGGTCATGATTAAACACCGTAGTATTATTCTAACAGATTAGGAAGGGGATGTGATTTTCGCAGAAATGACTTGAGCCCCTAACTCCCCAGTGCTCTCCCCAACTCTACCACCACCTGGACCTTTAAGATAAGGGGAGGCCAGAAGGAGGCCTGAAGTGAGAGTTTGTCAAGGCCGTAAACCACAAGCAGCTGCATGGGCGACACAGACTGCCCTGGGCCACACAGAGATAGCTGTGCCCTCTTGGGCCCACCGAAGTGCACATGCCTACCTTCTTGCCTTCTCCATATATAAGGGGAAACTTCAAGTCATCCTCCTCAATGGTTTTGTATGCCCTGTAGGGGGATAAACAACATTTTAAAACAGGTTTGCACTCACTCAATGGTCCACTGCCCTGACACGGCGGCCAGGTGCTTTATCTCCCGAGACTCTGGGTCATGCTCCCTACAGAAGTGTGTGTGTGTGTACAGTTTAACAAACCAGCAAATATGGTTGAAGTCTTCATGTGATTGAAGAGGCAGAAAAGCAGTTGGTATATTCCTGATGAGCAAGCAGGGGAGATGGGTTTCTGTCCTAGGCATTTACTGTCTGTGCAACAAGGAAGCGCCCAGCAGCAGCAACAAGGTTCTTGTCATTAACCCCGAACCATGAGAACAGCAGAGCTCAGAGAGAGCTGGAGAGTGACACTGCCCCAAGAGCCAGTTCTCACCTTTAGGGGCTGATTACGCCAAAGGTGCCTTGTTCTGGGACAGCTGAAAAAGGAATATTTAGAGCCTGCCTGACCTCAGTGCAATATTCAAGGCTGGCAGAAAATTCTTTGTTTCACAACAGTTATTAAAGGTCATTTGACACACGGAAAGAAAATCCACTTAGGCTTCAATGAGTTATTCCAGACATGGTCATCTGGAAGCCACTGCACACTCAAGCAGCGGCTGGCCAAGACAAGCCAGGGGAGCCCACGAGGCGCGTCTTGCAATTTCGTTTATAAGGACGTTAAAAAAGAAACGAGGAAACAAGCATGGCACCCGGTTACTAGCTGTGGCCCCTTGGCAAGTAGCTCCATCTTCTTCAGTCCCGGTTTCCTCATCTGTAACATGAGGATGATCACATAGGATATTAAGCACTTAGCCCAGAACCTGGCAGCTAGTGGGGACTCAACTGTGGTAGCTCGGACTAGTGTTCATTAGACCATGCTCAGCACATCAGTCCCCCTTGTCCACAAAACAGGGATAGTACTGCCTATTCGCCTTCTCAAGGAAGAATCAGAAAGACTAGAAGCTGGGGTAGGTTCGACCAGGTTTGGTGCTGGATGCAACATGCTTTTCTAAAATGCTGTCTCCTTAGTATATGAAAAGAACTAATTTGTGAAATGGCCTCCCGGCCCTGGCTATATCCAGGCAACTTGGGAGTGAATCTAAACTCAAATGTAGGAAAGCTCCTGATACACAGAGGAATGCAACCCAATGTAGAGAGGTCAGCCCCAAAGCTGAAGCAGGCACACCCTTCTTTCCAGCAAGTCATTTCAATAACCTTTCCTTCCCAGGGGGTACAGGGTCAGCAGTTCGGGCCCCAGATTAACCTGGTAACTTCATCAAAGGCTGTATAAGCTAATTGACAGCAGTTATGACTCACTGAAACACCTCCCACATGCCAGACACAGGGCAGGGGTCTCGCTGATAGCGTCCGTGATGTCTCACCGGCTCTGCAATATCCTGTCCACAGATGAAGGGACTGAGGCTCAGAGAGGTCACGTTACTTCCCAAGATCATGTCAGTGGCCTACAGCTGGAATCAGACTTTCCCAGAAAACACACCAAAGAAATGTAACATCAGGGCTCAGCTCTGAGGATCTCACTCTAGTTGAAGAACTGAAATGAGACCATTACTGTCTGTTGCTCGGTGGGTGAAAAGCAGGCAGTGGATGAAGAAAAGGATTTTTTGGCCAAAAAGGAAGGGGATTTCCGATGTGAGGCAAAAGATGAAGAGGTGATCCTGTGAGGACAAAACCCATTGCTGGTCTCTGACGCAGTCCGCAGGGAGGACTGGGGACATCAGGGAAGGAAAAAGTGTGTCCTCGGACCTGCCATAGCATCCCAGCCCACCTCACCAGTGCCCCCAGGTCTGACTGGAGCCTCTCCACAGGCACCAGGCCTCCCTCGACTCTGTTTCCACAGTATAAGGGGGCTACCCTGGTTTCTGCCCACTTGGAAGGCCTGTCTGCTGCTCATATTACATGACAGTCCATGCAGAGGCCAAATCTACACTTCCAAACTCGCCCTTTGCTTCTATCCTTCTCAGCTGGTGAAGGCAAGAGGGTGAGTAGAAGGGTTTGAAGCTAGGCTGCTCCATGAGATGGAGGTACTTGGGACTTAAGGTTATCAGAAAATGTCTATTTCTTCACATTGGAGCCTGTGATTTCTGAAATCCTGATTAAAAAAAAAAGTCCAAAACCAGATTACTCACTAGTTTTACAATGATTTAACAGACTAGAGAACATATTCAAGTACCTGCTACAAGCAAGCAAAACTGAAAGGCTGAGGAAAGACTTTTAGGATAACTCTTATTTTGGGTCAATTCCTTTATGAATATTTATGAGGCCAATTGACAAAAGAATGAGATGAGAAAAAAAATGCAAGGCTTATAAAGGTCTAGATTAAAGGGTTTTTCCTTATTTTGAGGCAGTATCCCCAGCAGTTTCCATAATACAACTTTCTTTAAGTAATAGTTTTCCTTCCAATGTTGGTTCTGCAAAGTTGAAAAGACAAGGCATGGTTGGTCTGGACCTATGGGAAGGAAGAGCTTGGCACTGTAAGACTGAAAGGCCACTAGGCTGGCTGTCCCCAAATGCATCCGTCCCTCTCCCACACACCTCCTATGGGTCCCTGGCCTTGTCATCAAATGGACTGCTGCAGACAGTCACTGTCCTAGGAGCCTGACATACTCAGTGTCAGCCCGTTCCACTGGAGAAGCACCCTGGGAAATTCTTTCTTAAACTGACCCAGCCAGCCATACCCTGGTGTGTTTGATCTGTCCTTCAGAAAAACATGAAATAAATCATAAATCTAGTCTCTTGTTTGAGAGCTCTGCAGATATTTGAAGCAAGCTATCCCAAATCTCCTCTTTCCTAGTTTCCTCGAGTGCTCTTAACAGGACACCATCCCTAACTGCTCAGGTACTACCTATTAAACCAGTTGAGCACCAAATATTGTGTAGGGGCTCTCTAGTTTGTCAGCATCCTCAAAGAATGGCACTGTGAACTGAAAACAGTAAAGATGTGGTCTACAAAAGAATGAAATGATTACGTCTTTGATTTAGAAGTTGCTCTTTTTGAAACCCTGGCAGTTCACATCTGCATGATGTGCAGGCACCTGGGTGTCTTCGTATGTGTGGTGAGAGCAAACAAGAAAAAAACCCAAACAAAAGCCCAATCAGTCCATGAGAAAAAAGACCCAAGAAGGTCTACTGATGCATCCTCTGTCATTTATGCTTACAGCATGGATATGTCACTCTAAATTGAAGGTTCCATTGCCCTTATGAATTTTATCTCGCTAGTACTAGTCCATTGTTCCAACCCACTGAGAGCCTCCTGTATGTACATCCTTCATCCAAAATATCAGCTCTCTATGTCATGTCATGTAAAATTTCACAAGGAGCTCTGCTGTCTTTGCCCAGGTCATTGAAAAAAGTGCTGAGCAGAACCAAGCCCCTGGGACCCCCTTTCAGGCCAAGTTAAGCAGACAAGGGGTTGTCAACATTTCTTGGAGACATGTGGATGAAAGCATGTGCAGCGTGAAGAATCACATTCTAATTCTGTGTTGTTAAAATGAAAAATCTATCAGTTACTTTTTAAATACAAACAACAGACAGTAAAATAAAGCTTGGCAGAACCTCATCTGGTGGAAAGGCACAGAAAGATAGGCTCAATAGTAGAGGGAAGACAATGAGAATAATGTTTCAAAGACTGAAAAACACTGATCCATTTAGACACTGTCCTTGTGAACTGAGACTCGGTATAGCTCTCAAGCCACCTACAAGCAACTTAACCCAACGGGTCCATGCAGTGTTTCTCTGTTTTGTTCAAAAGGCTAAGTGAAAAAATTATCAAATTCCTTACAAAGTCAAAATACATCTATGTACACTATTGCTCTCATCAACCAGCCTAGAAACCCTATTAAAAAGGGAGATCCTTCAAACCTCTCTTACCCCTACACAAGAGAGGGGCACTGACTGCTTCAGCCCTGTCCTTCCAGACTGAGGTTCCCACGTGGCCCTGAGACCCCCTCCGTCTGCTCACATGCCCCACCCTTGCTGGTCAGGACATTTTCCTATGTTGCCCAATAACTTCGGCCTAGGTTCATAGATTGCTTTTCCACTCTTACCTGCTATTATTCTCAGCAAGTTTGTATGTTTTGCTGGTGTGTCTAGAGTCCTGACTTTCATACCCCTAACCTAGTTCCTGATGACCCTCCACACCACTCCCCATCGACACTCTGATCACGGGGGCTGCCCCAGGGACGCCCTCTTCTCTGAGGTTCACGCCAGAACCACCTCTCCTTGCTCCCTGCCTTGCTGTGGCCACACTCAGGCCCGGCCCCCTGCTTGGTCCTGCCATTCTGTTAGGCAGAAAGACAGGTATGAGTGGGATGAAAAGAGGGTGCGGTGGGGCCCACCAAGAACTCAGGGCATTAATCAGATAAAACCAGAGAGCCACGAAGGACTCACGGAGTCAACGCCCTTTGCAATATGAGTTCATTCCACATGCCCCGAATCTGGGCTGACCTTCAGACTTGCCCTAGCTGATGCAGGTGACATAGGGCAGAGACATGAGACAAGCATCATGATTAATTTTCCTAAAAATGCTGAGATGTGAATAGCAGAGTGGGAACAAGAGGGACTTGAGTCTAAGGGCAGAGTTGGGAGGTTACATTCCTAACATATTCTTTGGTATTCAGCCAACAACCTATTTTAAGGCAAGACAAGCAGTCTTAACTGATGTGTTCCAGTGCTTGGAAGTGGCCACTATCTTAGAGAGAAACAAAAAGCTTGTCCTACAGAATTACCAAGAGGACTGGCTATAGACAATGACATACTGTCTCTCACCAGATACAGACATGAGACCTCCTGACAAGCCTATGCTCCCCAACCCTTTGCCTTTATTCCATTTTTGAAACTCCTTAAAAGACAGAATCCCAGCTTTTGGGTGTGCCTTGTTTCTGAGGTTGCCTGCACTCACCTTTCTTCGAGTGTGTCACACTCTCTGTCCTACTCCAGATTTTAGGATCTTGTCTAAGTCAGGATCTTTAATTAAAAAGGGGGGCAGAAACACCACTTGATTT